GCGTGACACGTATCGACTCATATGATATGTCCCTGTGGCAAAAAGATAATTTGATACCCTGAAGGCTGACGTTAATCAAAAGGACAACCCGCCGACAGGGCTGAATAATGAAATGCTACGTCAGAGGGTATGCGGTCATCAACGCAGGCTCAGATGTTCTAAGTGAGAAATTTAGCAAAATTAGCTGAAAATGACGGAGGAACTTTATTTTCGTCAAAGGCACTTTCCTATTTCCAGAGGTTTTTAGGGAGAAAATTAATATTTTTCAATTTTTTTAGGGGGTGTATCAAGTTTTTGGAGGTTGCTCTGTGAAAGGAAAGCGGCAAAGAAAACTACCTCTCGAAGCAACAGCATAGGAAATCAACCCTGAAGACCACTCAGGACTCCCTTTTCCGCGGCAAAACCTAGCGCATGCCCATGCGTTATTCAGCTCTGTCCAATCCTTCATCTTTGATCGCATCACGCCTGCAATTTTGTTCAGGGGCCAACTTTGACATTTATTAGGCATGTTGTGTATCTAGTCTATAAAGTTTGAAATGTAACAGAGACTTAGCCAAAATTCTTAACCTTTATTTGTTAAGCCTGAGTTGGTTGTTGGTTCGTCGATAGATTGGTCTCCTCTCAGTACAAGGAAAACGAAAATGTTTCAAAAACTGACACATATATAGAAATCATTTACATATTTAATATTTACATTATGGACCAGATAAACAACATCCCAAATGACTGTCAAAGTCGACCGCTCAACAAAGTTGCAGGCGCAATAAGATCAAAGATAGCGGATTCTCATTTTGATTAACACCAACTCTAATTTTAGGGCATCAATTATCTTTTTCGACATAATGGCTACTTATCTAACAACTGATATCAAGACAATAGTTGTAACTGAGGCACCACAGAGATATATATGTATTAACAAGTTTCTTGATTTCTTTGGTCAAACAGTTTGACTGCATGTTTAAGATGTGGTTTACAGAACTTTGATGATACAAACTAAAAAAGCGGGAGTTAGATGTAAATTTCACGACATCATGGGTAATGAAATCAGTTGGCTTAAAATTTTATTAATGATCTGGGAAGTCAAGTGATGGCTTTCACTACCCATGTAGGAATAATGATCAGCAGCGGTTGGTCATCGGAAATATTGGGCCTTAAAATACCCTTATTTTTGGACTTTGTCAAAACCATTAAAAGTTGTCTTTACTTAAGATAGATGTAAGGGAAAAAATGAAAAGAAAAAGTTAAAACAGTTCAATTTCCTTAAAGCCTAATAGATATAGAACACAGCCCAGTTGACTGAACTTGTAGAAGGCTTTTTGGTTTGTCCCAGCAACAATGCAAAGTTAGCAAATTAATTATGCAAAAATGCAGGAAAGGGAGGGTTTTCCCAGGGGAACCCTGTGTCTCCCAGAAAAATTAAACATTTTGATCTATTATTTTCACACATTTACCGACTCATGGTAGTTAGCATTTGTGCCAAGTCTGAGCCAAATCGTTGATTTGAGCTTTATCGCACCCTGCCCGATTTTCTGGTGGACATTCTCTTCTTCTATTCATTTTCTCCCTTGCGACGGAAAAAGAAATGAAGACAAAAATGAAATAAAATCTTGAGATTAACTGTTGAATTTCCATTTTCCCTATTCTTCGGTTTGGGAATCGTACTCGTCGTAAGGGGCTAAAGGGAAAAATGAGTAGTTGATTAGACCTTCCACTAACCATCATGTATTGAATGCTGTAGCTCAAGGGTTCAATTTGACTCCTGCGAGGAAAAAAGCGACATGTCGAGACCTGTAATCATGATATGGATAATACATATTGATCGATAGATACCATTCTCAGCATGCGCCCCTGGGCAAGATAAAGCGAATGCTGTGTTTTGATTGGCTACCCGAGCGGGCAAGACGGGCCCATCTTGCCCGCTAGAAATTGCCCACTTTGATCCCGCGAAAGAAAAAAAAGGGTGCTTGAAGCGGGCCTACAACCTTCGTAACTTTGGACAAAGTAAGCGACGAAGTCGCAAAAAATGGCGGAGGATATAAAAAAACGATAAATAAATAAATAAACGATCCTGTTGAGTTTATTGTGCTACAAACACAATGGTTTTCTTTCCGGTTCTCGAAATAAATAGGTCGTTCTTGATTCTTATTAAAGCGAAATGTTTCTGCTGTATTATAAATCTCTTATTGTCCAAGCTTGTTCGGTCAAGATGGGCGGAGATTAGCCTGTTTTTTTTTTTTTTTTTTTTTTTTTTATGGACCGAGACGAAGTCTCGGTCCATAAAAACGCAAAAAAAGAAAAAAAAAGAAAAAGAATTCGTTCAATATCCAGCCATCTTGATCGATCAAGCTTGGTAAAAAAAGCATATTTACGATATACCTGGCAGTGCGCGCGGGCGAGATGAAGCGAGTTCGCAACATTTGGACAGTGTCGCCGACGAAGTCACATAAAGCGGCAGAAGACAGTCAAAGCAAAGAAAAATTAAACGACTCTGTTGGATTTATTGTGCCACAAACACGGTTGACTCTCGTTCTCGGCTCATAATTAATTTTTATTCAAGCGAAACATTTTTGCTTTATAATAACTATTTTAATTACCAAGCCAAGAGAATACAAACTCTCTTGACCAAGCTTGTTCGGTCAAGATAAACGGATATTAGCCTCGTTTCTTTCTGCGGTTTTATGGACTTCGACTTCGTGTCGGTCCATAAAAACGCAAAGGAAGTACTCGGTCAATATCCAGCCATCCTGACCTCACGTCTGGTCAATAACACATGTGAATGTCTTCCATGCAGACCCATACAAATCTGGCAAGGGAAGACAGTGCAAAATATGCACTTCCGAGCCCGGAATTTGTCTACCTTATAGGTCATTGGACTTCCTTTTCCTTACATCTAGTTCTTGAAGTGTTTAATTCAGCACTGATCACAAAAGTACATCGTCAAAATCTGTTTCAAAAGATCTAGAGTCTAAGCCAGTGATATAAAGAGAGGTATTAGTCAGCGTTTTCTTTGTTTTGACTTCTGTCAATTTGATGCCAAAAGCATATCAGTAAAAGGGTTCGTAACAAATGCTTCTCCACTCACGTCTCTACCAACTAAAAAGACACCGATCAATATCTGCGAGCCCGCAATATGCCAAAAATATTGGTCAGAGGATTCTTTAGTGCAATAGCTATCACTTTAACATCTCGATGTGTATGTCCTCTATAACAACAATGTACTAGCGCAGTTGAAGGATTGCATCGAAGGCTTATTACAATTATAGGGCCAAATGTTATTACATTTGCGACTTCAATAGAGTTTTCTCCTTTTGTGATTTCTCGCTTATAGGCATTAGCACATTATGTTTCTGGTAGTTCTTGCCAAGACAGTACGAAAAACAGCATAAAGCGATAACCATCGCACAATTATTTCTGGATTGCGCGCGATTTTAAGTAACAAAAGTTTTCTTTTCAGAAATATCTCAATTGGTTTGATCGATGCATCATAAAACTTCGATTTTTTTCTATGAAGAGAGAACATTTTACCGTTTAAATCAGCAAATTATGTAGATCCGAGGATATGATAATCTTTTCAGTTCTTGCCGTGACACCACAGAAGACGATAAACTTCACAAAAGAATTTTACATTGGCATCAACCGACGCGTAATTTAAGACAAAACTTTTCCTGCGGAAATATCTCAATAGATGTGATCTGCACAACATGCAAACTTTGCGGAATTATAGTACTTTCAAAAGAGAGCATTTTACAATTTATCGTTGCTGGCATCGAACAATGTGCTTATCCAGTCGATCTAGAATTCGCTGGTTTACATTGGCTTAAGTATTATCAAATGCGATAACCCTTTTATCCAATTTATCCTTCATTTCTACCCGTGAGTATTCCATGGTTTCCGAGAAAGATACAAAAACCCAACTGCCTCTCGGGTTTGCATAATTTTCCAGAATTCTCCCAGCCCTCTCGTATTTAGAGGAGGTTCCGTAAACACAAAAAAATTCCAGGGTGCTTGTTTTTTTGTCTTTTTTTGTTTTTGTTTTTTTGTTTTTATTTTTTTGTTTTTTTGATTTTTTTTTTATTATTTTTTTCGTTTTTTTTGTTTTTATTTTTTTGTTTTTTTTGTTTTTTTGTTTTTTGAGACCTGAAGGAGGGCACTTATTCGAGACAGGGTGCTTATCAGGGAAAGGGCGCTTCTTTCTTTATTTTTTGCTAAGAAATAGAAGAATGTGCGAAACAAAGCTTTGCCGATGATGTTCGTTTGAAAAGGATCAAGAGGACTGGAAAACGAACTTGCTGCTCTTAGATCCTTTCTTGCTGAAAAGACCAGCCAAGTAATTGTCACAAATTTTTAAGGCAGGATCGGTCGTTTGAAGGAAATGCGCACTTACGTAGACATGATGGTTGAGAAACTTGGTCAAACTGATGATCAAACTAGATGTAATGATTCATATAGTTAAATGGCTCAACTGGTTAAAATGGTCAAATTCATGAAAAGTTTGAACCAATTAAACAAAGATCAAAGCAAGTGGAAAAATATGATTACCATATTTGATCTCAATATCTATGTACTCATATGGTGCTATCACTGAAACGGAAACGAAACAGGAGCGCTTATTGGAATGAGACAGCTTACTCAATGAGGGTACTTGTTAGGATCGGGGCGCTTATTAACAAATTCGAGGAGGGCACTTATTAGAGAGAGGGCATTTATTGGAACGAGAACGCTAAATCGAACAATAACGGCAAGCCTAAATCAAAGGCTTGAAGTCTTCGTGTTGAGCGTATCATGTTTACTCTGAATGTAAGACGACAGGCTGTAGCCCGCGGCGTTTTTGAGTCCTTATCAAAGGACTCACAATTTTCACTCTGTATTTGAGATTATCATTTCTACCTTTATACATTTTTTTTTTGACTCTTCTTGTTTGCTTGAAACAGAATCTTTGCTGCTTCCTTTTGACCGAAGAGCCTTAGTCGAAACGCAGCCAATTATATTCACGACGAGACAACAAGGAAATATTAATTTTAATTGTTTTAAAATATTGGTAAGAATAATTTCATCTTGGACACTCTTTTAAGGTGATCTCTCTTTATTGAGCAGGCTCTTAACTGACTTGCAACCGCTAACTTCCATCTCAAAGTTTAACGTAACTCAATCTTCTCTGAAACAATTGTTCCCACCCATGCCAAGGTGACAGTAGCTGAGCTGTCTAAGTAGGTACTTCATGCACCACGTAACACACGTCTAATCTCATTAGAAAATATCTTGCATCAAAAACCTTTTTTTTTCTTTGCAAAGTGACCTTTTTCTCTGATTTTCGGACAGTCCAAGTTACGATCTGGCAAACCTCAACTAAACTTGGAGACGTTAATACTAAAAGGAACATATTTGCCGAATTTAAACTGAACTCTAAAGAGAAAAGATTTTAAATGAATTATAAAGATTTGGACAAGAAGGGACGAACATTAAGAGTCGCCCTTTTTATAAACCGAGAGGCTAAGTGAGCCTAGAACGAAAGCGCTATTAAAAAAAAGGTGGAGATAGCAGAAAAATGTCAATTGCTTACTCGTGCAGCCACCTCGAGAAAAATGCTAAACTGCATCAGTTGACAAAAAAATTTTTCCAATAGTGACAGAAGATATCAACTGATATGAAAAGTAAAATTTAAAAAGAAAACTGTGAGGGAATATACAATAGTTTTTTTTTCCAATATGCTTAAAAAATCAAGATGTATGTGTTCACAGTTTTCATCCCGACAACGTGAGTTATGAATATATAATACGCACACACTTCATTTGCCATTAGTTTCCCGCACAGCTACAGAACTAATAAACAAAAAAAAATGTAAATAATTGCGGCAAGTAACTGAATCATTACTTTTACTTTCCATCTCTGAGAGGTTTTTCACAGACTGTGAGAGACTTGTGACGGGTTATGTGGCAATTCACATCATTCCACTTGCCCAACTGGTATTTACCAGAGATCAAAATCTCGGTACACAACTCCTGACCTCTTGCGTTGTTTGGTTCACCAGGGGTCCAGTTAGTGTATCCGTCTAAGGGACTCCCATCAACCCACAGAAAATTACCAATTACGTGCATCTTCCTCAGCCCGAGCCACATCTGAGCTCGAGTCCTTTTCTTCTCTCTGAGATAAACCTGAAATTCATATTTACGCCATTTAGCGTCATGTTTGTGAACACAATGCTCAGACATTGACACAGAGTTTGGAAACTACTGCGTGGATCAAACAGAGGGCCCAGTTGTTCGGAGGCAGGATAGCTTTAACCCAGAGTTAAATTCCAACCCGGGTTTCTTTATTCCTTTGTTTAAAGATCATTTGTCGGATTATTTCTACATTCTTTTTAGGTCATCCAATCTTCACATTGAATACCAAAAGAATTGTACTGAAAATTATTTGAAAGCTCTCAGATTTGAAACCAGATTTCTCACTAACCTTAGGTTTTTTAACCCAGCTTTGAATAACCCAGCCCAGCAGCAGGTAATTATCCTTGGTTAGAATAATAATTTTCTTTAATTCGACAGCCGAGCTCAAAATAATAATCTTTCACATAACGAAAAGGTCGTGTTTTTTTTAAATTTTTTTTTCCGAATGAAATGAAATACGTCAAGATCTTTCTCTGTAACTTTTGTGCTCATTGACTATGCATTTACCTCTCCTCCTATTTTACTTTGATTGAGGTAGTTCAGCTAACTGATTCATCAGGGGTCGTTGTATTGGGTAAAGTTATCCCTTTACTGAATAAATAGTTTGATGATAGAAGAACATGATTCGAATCGTGAGGCTGTGATGACTTGTTCTCTCTATTTCGCTTGCAGAGGGGAAAGGATATGTCATATGGTGATCTGCAAATAGTGCACTGAGAATTTCAACTTATACTTTAAGCAATTAACTTTTTTGTGTAGCTGTTCCGTTTTGGCGCCAAAATGCAGTCGCAAAGAATCTGGGGACTAATTAGCTTTTCATGTTTAAAAGGTGCTGCGAATTTAAATGCTTGTCTAACAATCAACCGAACACATCTGCTAAAAAAGAACAAGTAGAGAGCCGTGTAAAGATTTATGGATTGCCCAACAGAATTTTAAGTAACATTTCGCTGGGAATATTTCAGCCCTTCAAGTGTAATTTCAAATTTAAAACGCAATTTATTCATTTGTTTTGCAGTTTGACTGTTGCCTATGTTACCGTTGGTAACCAGTACAAAAGTAAAACGGTTATCTGTGCATCTGTAGCCTTCAAATTTTAAGTAAAGCTTGGTTACGTAAGTGCGAAACAAATGGCAAACGGCCTCTCTTCATACGTGCCTTAGTTAGTTCAGAGAAATGAACATTGAAAGAAACGACCCTGAATTTTGTATGCAGGTATACAATACTCTGCCATTGTTTACACCAATACGCTCGAAAAACGGATACCTTAGCAAGCTCTTTGACAAATTCGTTTTCCTCCTCTGAGGATATGATAATCATCTGTGCATTGAACTTCAAACACTGGCTCATCGCGTTCGCCCATCGGTTGGCTCGTGCCTCTACCACCAAGTAGCAATGTCTCTTCAGCTCGGTCCAGGGTGGATAACAAGTTTCAGTATTAAAACAGATATTAAGAATCTTGCATTAACAATCATTCGCCATACAAAATAAAAGGGTGTTTCCTCCAGTACAGATAACATTTAATAAAATAAAACTGAATGAACTCACCTTCACAATAAAAGTCAGTCTTGGTCCAGTTTCCTTCGTTACACTCTGTGGTTGTGTTTCCTACAACTTTGTACCCAGGTTGGCATTCAAAGTCAAAGGTTTGACCGCTGCGATGGAGAGTCTTTATATTGTTCGGCAGTTGAGCATGAACGACGTCTGTTTTAGGAGGCTTGGTGCAAGGTTTGGCTGAATAAATGAGTGGAGAGCATATTACCGTAAATAAAGCATTATAAGAAAGTAACTAGAAAATTAATTTTTACTTTGGCAGCTAAGAGTTGTTTCAGTGTAAACTCCTGATAAATTTCGTGTTTGGGTGTTAGTTATATGCCGCTATACAATAAAGTTTCCTTAAACCAACTGTAATCGATAATATCTGGGAGACAAGATAAAGATGTCTTGAGTCAACGCGAAAGAAGGATTGATTTTGGAGTAAGGACCATGTAACAGGCTTATCTCTTGTACTCACAGATATCGCTGCAGAAGGATTCTCGGACCGCTCCAGGCTCTGTATGTGACACTAGATAAGGACACTTAACACACTCTGTGCTCCTTTCATCTGGTTGATATGTGCCAACAGGGCATGGTTCGCAAATTCTTTTTCCGATTTCATAGTAACCAGGTGGACAGTATTCTGAAACGGTAATTATTAAGGTGAGTATCATTTAAAACTTAGCAATCGTCAACTGAGTAAAATGTGTTACTTACCTGTTAATATCTCCCATATAATTCAAAAAATATAGTTTTACTCAGCAATGGACAATCTCCAAAATTTTTTAGGGGTAGAAACTATTAATTCTCATTTGGCGTGCCGTGTGTAATAAGTAAGTTTTAGAAATCGAAAAAAATCAAAACCTAAAAAAAACAAAAACTGAGCGAAAGCCTAAGCTAAAAGAAGTCTGAGTTTCGCTGAAGTATCGTATAACAAAAGAGGAAAAATGATAATCAGTCAAAATTAAAAAATCAAAAAACTGTAATTGTCAGTTTGGTAACTCTTTTGATTGAGAGTTGAATTTTTGACCTTACCGCATAAATATCCATCTTCATGAGTTCTTGTGCCACTTGGACATTTTTGTGATGGAAATCTGACAACAAGACTGTCCTTGTCACCAGTTATCGTCAAGTTTCCCTTACGAATCTTCAGCTTTTCGTTCTCAAGAGAAGAATAGAGCTTTTTTAAACTGTTTCCTATGCGTTGTCTAGAGAGCGAGAATTCATTAAGTGCTTCGAGCTTCTTTCCTTCTGGGGTGATGGGATCTTCCCCATGAAGGACGAACGATATCACTGCATCTGGAAATGGTGTGTAATACACATTATGTATTTTTTTCTCAGGCCAACTCATGCGTTCCAGCATTTTCTGAGTAAGATGTTGGTAATCCTTAGTATCTATCTGTCGAAATTTGTCTATTCTATTTCCTTTGCAATTATGTGGACTGCTGTTTTCATCAGAGTGCGTGGAAATACATTGCTTTAGCTTTAAACTGAGAGCGATTCTAGGCACGCCTGGAATGAATCTTAAAACGTCCAGTCTTGCAATTTTACTTTGGACACCACCATGCAAATTCGACACGTTACAGTAGTAAAAGCCAGCATTTTCTGTTGTCAGATTTCCCATTTCCAGAACTGGGTCCGTCACGTTGAGACGAACAGCATCACGGCTCATACCTTTCATTGGAATAAAGAACCACTCTGTTGATGGCCGAGGAATGCCGGTGCTGTTGCAGATCATCCACACTGTTTCGTCTCCAACGAGCTTCTGCTTATCCAGTGGGTGTTCGGTAATATGTGGTCTTTGATGCACAACCAGGATGGTGACATTAGATACTGTCCTTCCTCTCGTGTTGGAAGCGTGACACTTGTAGGCTCCTTCACTATGTTCGGTGACATTTCTTAGCTCAAGTATGGTCCCATTTTCCCCTTCTAGTGGCTCTCCGTTCTTCATCCACGTGTATTCAACTTTCAGAGTGCTTTCAGCCTCACACAGTCAATCGATATCTTCGCCAAGGAGTGCAACAACTTTCACTGGAGAATTTTTCCTGATTGTGGGTTTCTGGCCGCAGAGTATCATCTCATCATTGCTTCCGCTAATGAAAGACTTCGCTCGCGATAGCTTTCTTTCTAACAATGACACAGTAATGTTCTCCCTCAAAATACTGCTAATGATCTTGTTTAAAGAGTGAAGCGCGTCTTTGATTTCGAATGCCCTGGGATGATTTTCCATTTCATACATTTCATCCAAACTGTCAAAGAAGAAGCCAGCACAATCAGAAATCCCCGAACATTGTGTAAAGTTCTTCCTCTGCGTCATTACATCGAGAAATCCACGTGCATCACTTAGTATGTCGCTCCAAGATGTCGTTCCTGTGATGTTAAGCTGAGCATTCTTGAGAAACTGGATCATATCGCTGTAAGAGTTGTTTCCATCGTTTTTATCGTCATAGTTGAGCTCTTCTATTCCTTTGATGCCTGCAAACACAGATTGATCAACTCCTCGCTTACTTTCAATTGAAAAATACATGGATTCAACGATATCAGAGAATAGAATGTGGGCCTCTTTGGAAAGATGACATTCGTGTCTGTCAATTGAGAAGTCGGTGTCATTTGCTTTGGAGATGATGAATTCGTCTCTTAATGACCTACGCCTTCTTACGTTGGGTGTTCCAAAAAGCGTGTTCACAATACGTTTTGACGCCAAGGCCAGGGAATCGTCTTCATTTTTGAAGTCCATAGGAAACTGAATTGCTTTTTGCAAGCCTTCAAATGTCCTAACGTAAACTGTGAGGGGAAATCTCGTCTTTGCCGATGAAGAGGTCAGTGCAACCGAGAATGCAAGACTTTCTACGTAGATCAGTGGTTTTCCTCTACGTTTCTTTATATTTTCACCAATTTTTAGACCCAGTTTTTCTCTCTGTTTCACTGTGTTGAGATTAATAGCTTTTCGAGCAAACTCACGCTGCTGAAGTCGTGCTCGAACCAGCTCTAACTGCCTTACACCACTTTCAAACTTTATTTCTGCCTTGTTTAATTCCAACTGAGCACGGGTGGAATGTTTTCCTTTCACTAGCATATCTTGAAAGTCTCTAAACATGGTCTCATTTTCAAACTCTATTTCAGCGGCAAGGCTGTCCAATTCAAAAGAGCAATTTGTGTTGTGCGAGACGCACGCTGGATCTAGAACTTTTATGCTTTCATTTTTTGGACATTCGTACATGTGATAACCAGAAATCACAGTTTCCATCTTTTCTGAATCGCAAATGAACCTTTGGATCTCTTTCGTTTTGTATTCGTGAAAGTTTTTTGTTACATAAGATTCGATTCGTTTCATTGGACCAGATACTGTGTAACTATCGCAGCCAAAGAAAAAGTCCTGTATAAATCCAAGTCCCAAAAAACCCCCTCCACATTTATTAACTCGTGTGTGCGTAGAACTTGGGATCATTTGGATTTTCTTTTCCACTTTTGAAACAATGACTTCTTCTTTCACTGTATCCTTCACTCTACGGCAAACGGGCACGGTGTAATTCACAAATACTGGCTTTTGACAAACCGCTGGTATGTAAGTGTTGGAATCGATAAAATCACAGGACAAGAATTGGCATATTTTTCTGTTCTTTACTTTTAAAAACTGATCCAGGGAAGACTCGAGCTCTAGTGATGCTTTTCCATATTCAGTGCTTATTCTTTGGAATCTGGAAAGTCTTCGTTGCTTTTCTAACAATGCTTCATCGAAAATAGACTTTTTCTTCTTCACCAGTTCCTTTGCGATCTGTAGCTTTTCTTCAGCACGCGATATCGATCTCTCACACCTTTCAACTCGTTTGACAGCTCTCTCTGCTACGAAATTTACAAAGGCAGTCACCCGCCTTTGAAGAAGATTTGGAAGTTGGGAAGAATTCGTCATTCTTCCGTTAACTGCGAAGATTAAGGAGCTCCAGTCTGAAGCATGACCAATCACTGCCACTACGTTCATGTTCGCCATATATCTATCAAATATCTTCCCTTGCATTTCAAACGATAGCTGATTCTTAGTTAATGATACATTAACATACTGATTAACGGCCAAAAGATTACTTATTCCCGCGAAATGACCTGACACCTCCTTAGAGTCTCTCGGAAAGAAGAATTCAACAACGTGTCCCATAGGAAGCGTCAGTATGTTGTCTTGACTTAAAGCCATCTGCCTCAAGGCTTCTCCTCTTCCTCTAAACACTGATGTATGTGTTGTGTTAGAAACGCAGTTGCGCTCTGTAAGGTAGTCAAGTGTTGTGCTTAAATCCTTAAGGCACAGGTTTTTCAAGCAAAGCTTGCCTCTGAAATGGAAGCTTATTCCGTTAAAGGCTTGGTTAACTGATTCTCCATCAAGATTGAGGCGTAACTCTGTAGGAAATCTTGCCTGAATTCCGTCAATTCTGTTTGAAAGCACTGCATACTTTCCTTTGTTGCTTGAAGAGGGAATATGGTCTATGATGACGTCTATGATGCTTAACAAGTATTTAAACTTATTTTCTATACGGTTAAGGAGAGTCAGTGCTCGTGTAACTGCCACTGTATCTCCAGTTATCATCTTTTCTAGTTCGGTCACAGAAGCATTCATTTGCGAAACAGTGTCAAAAGATTTTTCGAGAGCAATTTCACCATGGGGTATAACTTCTTTGGCTTTGACTATGACATATTGCAGATCAGGTATTAGCGAAATAATGCTGGAAAGAAAGCTTTTAACTTCACCGATGTTGACGATATTGTCTTGCATTCCTCTGCTTACTGACATGAGTATTGCCAAACGAATATGTTGATTCTCTATTGGCCAAATGTAAGTTGCAAAAGGGCTTTTTTCCAAAAAATTGTTGGAGGATTTCTCAAGTGTCAGGAAGATGCCTTGCACTTTCTTGCTGCATTCCGCTTTTCCTTAAAAAAACAAAAAAAAATTTTCATGGATAATTACTGGTCCATGAACGAGGATGTAGTCATCGAGATATAACGAACCCGGAATTTTGGAGAGCCCAAATAAAAATGCGTTAGCAAATCTGGTTTTATTAGGGCTATCCGCACCGCTGCTTTGGATAAACGGCTGAAACGTGAACCGGTTTTTCAACGCCGTAATCTAAATTTTATGTGAATAGAAATGTCTCAGGCTATCAATAGAACATGTGGCACGAAAGAAATATGAAGAACGTTCGCAAAAATAAAACAAAATCCCTTGCTATGTACTAAATACATAAATTTCGATGATTTAACATATGACGCACGGATGATTCACGAGTTCCGTAGTTTCTTTCCGGGACCCGTAGGGGTGTGGAAAAATGGAAGGAAGGTTTGAATAACTTTTTCGATAAACAGTTGCTGATGGTGTGATAGGCGGCTTTTTCCTTAAGGGGGGCTTGGGGCATGCGATAAGGGCAATTAAGAAGTCATATACCGCTCTTAACCCACTTTTAAAGAAACCTCTTTTCAAACAATGGGCATAATGTTACTCTTTCGACGTTTTGTTTCAATTAATGTCTAAGATAAAACGTACAATTTGCATTACTGCTGCTAGAAGGTTCGCCTCGAATCAAGTTTCTTTTAAAGCAAAGCAGAGAAATATAGCTATTCCCATCCTCGCTCAAGAATGGCAACCTACTCGTTAGATGTCTCGACACTCTTTCTTGACTGTTTACGGGAACAACACATTTCCCTATAGAAACCACAGAGAAGTTAATCAAATCAAATTTGGCCGACTATAAAATTTCCTACCTCCCAAGATAGCTTTTCCACTTGCTTTTATTGAACCAAGTCTCAGGATAAAGTCTTTTCTGAGTACTCTTCCAGAAACGTTCAGAGATGCTTCTCCTCTTAATTGCATGTCCATCCGTTGAGACATAAGGGTGGTAAATAGCTGTTTAGGAATGTATAAACATTTCGGTAATTACTATAAGTCAGTATGGTAGGAAGGTGTCTGTATAAACTGCTGAGGCGTTTTTTTTTTTTTTTAAAAGTCAAAGGCTTGTTTAACCATTGATATAACAGTGGTTTAGCCGTAATTAGAACGCTGTTATTCACCTCCTTTATGACATTAGGAAAACAATCAGTTTTTTTTGTCACTTACACTGTCCATACGTTCAGATCTGATAATGGCATCTCCACTCATCCTTAATGTCAAGAGGAGGCGCTTTGGGATCCCGAATTTCCAGTTCAGGTTTCCTTTCAGCCACATATTGAAATGGAAAGGGGACAATTCTTGTAACTCCTGGCCATTCCAAATAAATCCATTTACAAAACGAGCAGTTTCTTTATCTTTATGAATACCAATCGAATCCACATGAAGGCTGAGCCCTTTATCCTGCATGTCCTGGAAGATATTCAGAGAGCTCTTTAAAATATTAGCCTGGCCTATGGAAAGGCTAACTAACAAACCAGGTTTGCAGATGTCAATTGCAAAGCAGGTTGTCCCATCTGCGAACAAATAAACATCGGTTTGTGCGACTCGGATTTTATAATTCACAGTAGGACGGTAATAGACGAGACTTGATGCTGAATTTAAGGGGAATTCAGGGCAGTGTTCCAAATTAGGAACTAAACTAGCTGCAATGTTCTGAATGTTAAAAAGGTTGTTGTTCTCGTCGACGGAGAATGAAAGCCAGTCTGGTGCCACTGATGAGAGAGCCCCCATAAACGAAGACACGAATGCGTCATTCTGTATGAGCTCAAGTAGGCTATTCGAGTCTGTGAGTCTTGCTTGGCATGTGCCATTTCGCAAATGCAGAAGTGCGTATTGTTTGGAAGAAGAGGTCATAGCCATTCCAGCCTCAATCATCTTATCCCGCGAGACACCATTCCTTGGATTTAAACCGATCAGAGAAAGAGGAATATTTAGGTTGTCGGCAGCTGTGATGTGCACGATACCATTGGTAGAAGGAGGATTCTTTGTCCACGGCGCGGTAGATATTAGACGTGCTTCACATGAAACTTTTGTTTGCTGTTCCTCGCAGCCTGTGGGTAGCTCGCCTTTGCGAAGAAACAGCTTTGTGCTCAGGCTGCCATTAGGGAACATTTTCGGTGCACTGAATAAAACGCCTGGTGTAGGAACTTCAAAATCGTTCTCACTTTCACCCTGAAGATCATATGTGATCTTTCGAATTCCTGGTTTTTCGGCTAAAACTGTAAATCCTTCCATTATTTTTAAAGGATCGAAGACTACTGATTGTGGCTGAAATGCTACTTCTTTCTCGGATGTTAATATCACTTTGAGGCGTCTCAATGGTCTTGCTAGAAGGAAAAGCCTCCCGGATTTCGTATTGGTGAGTAGTTTAGGAAAGATCGGCGTCACGACATGTCCAGTTTCACAGTGACTTCCTTTATAACCGGTGCCTTCACAATTACAGGCATATTCCTTTTCGTTCAGTGTTAAACATTTCCCTCCTTGTTTGCATGGATTAGGTTGGCAGGTCTTGATCTCTGTGACAACAAAGAAATAAAATGAAAAAGTTTATGATGCATTCCAATAGGCAATTTCCGAATTACGTATGGCCTCTTTTTCGAAACGAGGCCTAGTGCTCAATCATTCGTGGGAAAATGAGTTTAATTTGCATGTGAATGAAAACTTATAATCAAATAAAAAGATGAGCACCAGGACTCGTTTTGAAGATGAGGCCAAGGGTAATTCGGAAATGGGCTATTGGTTCGACAGGTTTTGCGAATTTGGAATTTTTTTAATTTGTTTGTTGGTCGGAAGATCTCTTCTCTTTTTTTCTTTTTATGTGCTTAAAATAAATTAAATAATCACATTATTGAATCCAGGATCTGACGTGACACACATTACATCAAAAGTATATTCACACTGCGTTTCCTTTAAGACAAGAAGGTCAGAAATTAATCTACAAATAACAAGTACTCTATACATTTCCTCACGGTAGCCATAAATCGAAAAAATTCGGTTTCAACTTTTTACTAGCATGTGGTTGTCCAAGTAATCTCATGAACTTACCGTGGCTGGGTTTATTTTAAGCTAGTTTTGTCTTCCTTAAAACTTACCTTTACAAGAAAACCTTCCAAAGTTCCAGGAAACGTCGTCACCCTTGGAATTAAGGATACAATTGGCTTCTCCGTCTCCCACCAAGAAAAATCCACGACGACAACCAAAATGGCAAGTTGAACCGAGGGAGGTAAAGCAAGGCACTGATATAGTTTGATTCTCACGGGTGGTCAGCGTCTTGCAATTTTTTGCTAAGGGATAGCAAAGATACGGGTGAGTGATTCTCAGAATTGCCTGATTGGTTCCATTAAGACTCGGATTATAATTATAGTAAGACGTACATTCGTTCACTGTTCAGTTACCTAAAATTAAGTCCCAATTCGGAGGTAACTAGAGCTCTAACGCCTTAAAAATCTGAATACTTTCTGATTTCCAGCCACCAAACACGAATGGCTTGGTATAACGTGGTATAACACTCATATACCAATCAGGGGCTGGAGCTCTGGAAATACTCTAGTTTTCAGAAATCGAGTTTATTGAATAGAAAGCAACACACGCGTATGTGACTCAAAGACAGCCATTATTAAGAGTAATGTGACCCGACATGTTTGGCCTGTGTACCAGATTGTAGCGTCATGAAAAAGGATTAGCTGTGCGTATTAATAGATCGGGACTCTATGGAAGAAGTAAACTCTAACTTTATTTGGCCAGAATCTTACTTTCCCGAGAAAGAAGGATGGCAGTTACCTTGACAGAAAGGCAGTTTTCCGCTCCACCGTGAAGAAGCAAGGCATGTTCTCGACTGTGGTCCGACCAAATCATATCCCGGTTCGCAAGAAAATAAACAGGTGGCGTCAGTGACAAGTCCTGAACAATTCATTCCGCCATTAAGCGGAGAAAAAACTTTCTCACAAGGCTGAGCTGGAAGATAATTGCAAGAGTTGCATTAGGAGAAACCTGCTTACCTTTCTGAAAAAGTTAAATCACCGGGTGAGCATCGAACACAAACAGACAGAATCGCTCTCGAAGACGAACCTTTGTATTTTTTCCTGTCCGCTGACAATATGTAACCTGGTCTACATGAGCAAACGTAGCTGCCATCTGTGTTGTGGCAGTTATGGTCACAGGAATGGCTTCCACTAAGGCATTCATCAATATCTAAGGACAAGACAGAAGAGGGTATCAGGATATACTTTATTTCGAGTAAACCGGTTGGAATTATCTTTATATAAAAATAGAGATTTTAATCGGTACAACTGCTTTTACGGACGGATGAAACAGTCGCTATATACGTATTAGACAATGAGCAATGTAAAAATTAACTGTGCTACCGGTATTCGGAAAACGAGACGTTAAGCTCCAGTGAAGTGAAGTACATGTTGTTTGTTGGTGGTGACTTTTCTGTGCCATTTTAGATAAATTTTTTAACAGAGTCCGAATAAATAGCATTGGCCAAGAATCCTGAATAGTTCGAGAAGGACTAGTTGGCTTTTTACAGAGTGCAGCTAAAGAGATGGACAATCCCAACGAGCAGGAGTGTGAAGGATTTATGACCTAGAACCGTCTCTCCCTTCAGTGCCTGACCACTTAGCCATATATTTTAACGTTTGAGGGAAATTAGCTCTCGGATCTTTTGAACATTAGTGTTTTATGAGTGTCCTGTTCCTTGAATTGATTTTTCTTAGAACCTCACGGAGTAATTATTCGCCGTTTTGAAGCAGCATTTTGCATCCCTTTGCCTGCTTAAGAATGCCAACCGGATAAACAAGGTGGCTCTACTAACCTTTACACTGTCTCTTGTCATACATCAGCGCATATCCTCTCCTACAAGAACACTGAAAGCTTCCCTCGACGTTCGTGCAGATGTGATGACAACCAGAAAGAGTAGCTGTTTCGTTACTTCGAGCAATGGCTCTAGGATCACACTCATCGATATCTATGAGAAATACTGGATAGGTCTTTTTCCTACGTAGACATACCGTTTGAAGGGGCGGTAAAAGTTTACATTTTAACAAATCCCCTGACAACGCCTGGAAGGCAGCAAACCTCTGAGGAGTGCATTTGCTGTCGGAGAGTGCTCAATAGGGACCCTAAGCCGTCACGTCGACAAAGCAAAGAAAACGTGGATTAAGTAAAAACAATTTTTAAATCAATAATAATAATTTCATGAGTGGCTGGATGTGTTACAATGCCGCACCTAAACTTCAGCATCACATATAACAGGTGTTTATTAATTTCCGGAGTGTTTTTTAATTTCAGGAATAAAAAATTCAACGATTATTTGTCGTAATGTCCTGAAATTAAGATTATTAATCGCAAAGGGCTTCACTTACGATTATTAGTCGCAAAGAGTGTATTATGGCGATTAATAATCGTGGAAAGTACGGCTATTAATCGTGACTGCATCATGAATAGTCGTGTTTGACGAGCTTTTAGACTAATAATCGTGCATCGTACGGTTAATAATCGCATCTGACAACAAATGTCATTATTAATCGTACTCCTCTCCAGAGAAAGTTCAACTAGAACTTTTTTTGGACGGCCGCCATTACGACCAAAAATTCAGAAGTTAGTACTTCTTCGCATATGGCTTTTCAAGCAATAAATGTCACACATTTGAGGTCTTCTCGGGTTCAAGTTCTCACTGAACTTCATTTCTGTTTAAAAAGTGTGTTTACCAATGATGTTTTTCTTTTCTTTCGTCCTTTGACGAAGTTCAGCGCAGGCTTTCGATATCGTGAGAGAGTTGACCAACGTTTCTTCTCGATGACCTAGAATAATGTGAGTAAATACGTTAATTTCGGACAGGTTTTAAGTAGATTTAAGTTTAACTGAATACAGTTGCAAACGAACAGCCCAATGAGTCAAATCACGAAAAATGCCGAATCCCAACAACGGCCTTTTTGCGAAGTTGAAACGTACGTTTATGGGAAAGCGACAGATGAAACCGGCGGCGGTGATCGATGTGAGACAATTATTTCAGTTGTGAATAACTTGCAGCGCACTTCACTAGTCCCAGCTTTACTGAAATAGAAATTGTCAGACTCAATCCAAAAAAAAAAAAGAAACGTTTCACTGATTTCCCTACCCCGATCTATTTTCTTTTCCTTTTTTTCTATTTTCTTGTTTAATCAAACGTAATTCGAGATACGTTTGCATTTTTCATAAACGAAGAGGAAAGATTAATTTGAGTCGCGGGTTCATTTCTCCATCCAGCAAGACTCTAATTCTTTGCAGAACTATTGTGTTTCGAAATGGGTCGTTCAACAGCAATGGGGAAAACGCTGTTCCAGAATGGAAAAACTATTTTCGATATTTTGAGTGAAACCCACCCCGGCAAGATTTGGCAAATGTCACGCCGATTCGGTGAGATGTCTTTCTATTCTTTTTGTGATGCTTATCTAGCGGTTAAATAGTCGTTTTTCACCCGAAACTGAATGACAGACAAGTAACAACAAGAATGGCCTTTCCTCTTTTATCTCATAACTGTTTTACAGTCTTTCATTTTAGGCATACAAACTGACAAACAAATCAGAAAAACAGTTCGCGACTGTCGACTCGTTCGAGCTACCGAGTGCGATTATATTTAGATACGCATCATTAGATCAAAACAAATTACGTCGCATGGGTTTTCGTACTTTCCGAAACTTCTTTTATTCGATTAGCATATTTCTGAGAGATGAATTTAGGTAATATCTAAGTGTACAATGGGTTCTTGTCGAAAGTTTTTTTTTTCCACGGTCAAAATTCAATTTGTAGGAATTTCGAAGCCTGCGTCACGCACGCGCTCCAGATGAAAAAGAAAAAATTCATATTAATCAATGTTATATTTGTTTCAGCCCAAACACGTTGTTTCGGTGACAAACATTCCCAGGGATCTTAGGTACAAATTCATACAAGGTAATTACATAAACTGGTAAAGAAACGTCCATTTGCTCTGTTTTCAAGCATCTGCAGATTCAAACCTTTCTTCAACTGAGAGACAGCCATAAAAAATGATTCAATCAAACAGCCACGATAAAAGATGGTTTCTGAAATGCACTGTGGTATACCGATCAGATCAATCCAAGCGGAATGCAAAGAGAGATTGATGATATATGTAAAGCTTTTCTTCGTATACACTTGTCAGCTGAAAACCTGTGACTTTTTCCCGCGAAAATAACTTGAAAAGGTTTCGGCACGGTATTACAAAGAGCCAAGTTGAAGAGTTCTTTTGCCTATGGCGAATGAATATGAAAGAATACTTTAAAATCTCTGTGAATGTTTTTAGAATGTTTTCGTCGCCGACAAAACGTGTTTTGCCTGAAACAAATATAACATTGATTGATATGAATTCTTTTCTTTTTCATCCGGAGCGCGTGCGTGACGCAGGCTTCGAAATTCCTACAAATTGAATTTTGACCGCGGAAAAAAAAACTTTCGATAAGAACCCATTGTACACATACATATGACCTCAATTCATCTCTCTTAAATATGCTAATCGAATAAAAAAAGTTTCGGAAAAAAAACCCATGCAACGTAATGTGTTTCGATCTAAATGATGCGTATCTAAATATAATCGCACTCGGTAGCTCGCACGAGTCGACAGTCGCGCACTGTTTTTCTGATTTGCTTGTCAGTTTGTATGCCTAAAATGAAAGACTGTAAAACAGTTATGACGTAAATAAAGAAAGGCCATTCTTGTTGTTACTTGTCTGTCATTCAGTTTCGGGTGAAAAACGACTATTTAACCGCTAGATAAGCATCACGATAGCAAAACAATAGAAAAAGACATCTCACCAAGCCGGCGTGACATTTGCCAAATCTCGCCGGGGTGGGTTTCACTCAAAATATCGCAAATATTTTTTCCATTCAGGAAGAGCGTTTTCTCCATCGGTGTTGAACGACCCATTTCGAAACACATTAGTTCTGGAAAGAACTAAAGTCTTGCGGGATGGAAAAATGAACCCGCGACTCAAATTAATCTTTCCTCTTCGTTTATGAAAAATGCATACGCATCTCGTTCGATAAAACAAGAAAATAAAAAAAATAAAAAAAATAAAAATATATATATATATAATCGGTGTAGTGAAATCAGTGAAAATTTTTTCTTTCTTAGGATTGAGTCTGGAAATTTCTGAATCAGTAAAGCCGGGACTAGCGGAGTGCAATGCAAGTTATCCACACCTGAAATAATTGTATCACATCGATCACTGCAGCCGGTTTCATCTTTCGCTTTCTCATAAATACGTTTCAACTTCGCAAAAGGCCGCTATTGGGATTCGACGCGGCATTTGTCGTAATTTGACTCATTGGGCTGTTCGTTTGCAACTGTATTCAGTTAAACTTAAATCTACTTAAAACCTGTCCGAAATTAACGTATTTACTCACATTATTCTAGGTCATTGAGAAGAAATGTTGGTCAACTCTCTCACGATATCGAAAGCCTGCGCTAAACTTCGTCGAAGGACGAAAGAAAAGAAAAACGTCGTTGGTAAACACACTTTTTAAACAGAAATGAAGTTCACTGAGAACTTGAACTTGAAGACTTCAAATGTGTGACATTTATTGCTTGAAAAGCCATATGCGAAGAAGTACTAACTTCTGAATTTTTGGTCGTAATGGCGGCCGTCTAAAAAAATATTCTGGTTGAACTTTCTCTGGAGAGGAGTACGATTAATAATGACATTTGCTGTCAGATGCGATTATTAACCGTACGATGCACGATTGTTAATCTAAAAGCTCGTCAAACACGACTATTCATAATGCAGTCACGATTAATAGCCGTACTTTCCACGATTACCTTATTATAGGAAATTAACAATGCATGTAATTAACGCGAATTTCAAAAATTCGCGTTAATTTTATGTATCTTAATTTACCTCATTGTTAATTAAAATGATCGACGTTAATTAAAAGCATCGTTATTTAAAGACACCTTTATTATAAGCAAAGCCACAATTCCTCTACGTCACCGTCAGAGTCGGTTGACGCATCATCATTTAATATTAAGTTCAAAATGTCCTTAGATTCATCAGTGTAGCGATCGTCTTCTCTGAGGGGATAACTCACTTCTTCAACTTTCTTGCGCAAAATGTCTATCGCATTTTTGTCATCTCATTTCACTTCTTATGTTTTTTACCGGAAATAGAGAGCAAATTTTGTTGTTGGCCGTTGTTGTTTTCTAACGAAATGAGTGCGAAAAATATTAAATTCACGTCTTAATTATGCAACATACCGCAAGGAAATTCGCGTTAATTAAATGTATGTAAGCATAACTTTTGGAAAATTCGCGTTAATTTTATGACGCGTAAATTTTCTTCACGTTATTAACATGCTTCGTTATATTCCTATAATAAGGCATTAATCGCAATAGTACACTCTTTGCCACTAAATATCGTAAGTGAAGCCTTTGCGATTAATAATCTTAATTTCATGACCTTACGACAAATAATCGTTGAATTTTTTATTCCTGAAATTAAAAAGCACTCCGGAAATTTGTAAACACCAGTTATATGTAAATAGGATTAAGTTCCAAATTTAAACTTAAAGAATTTGCCATCGGTGTTTCTTTTCTCGGACAACATAAATTTTGGTGATTTCGCGTTGTTGTTTGGCAGAGGACGGCTAAGAAATGTACAAAGCTTTAAAATTCACGTGCTGAGCGATTATTCTGCCAACAAGATTTCTTGTTCTCCCACATCCGTTGCCGTAGTGTTTGCCTAAGGTCCCTAATATTTATGGTCACAACCAAAACGCGGAATGAATCGTAGATGAAATTCTACCTTTTAATTTTGAGAGTTTGGTTCTAAACATTACCTGTGCATGTCCTATTATCAGTCGTTAGTTGATATCCTTTGCTGCAAGAGCACTTGTAACCACCAAGAGTATTACTGCAAACATCTTGACAGTCGTGACCTAACTTGCATTCGTCAATGTCTGAAATTTAAAGAGAGTTTGTAGCTCTACATCATATAGTATGAAGCCCCGACGATCACAGCATGAAGCCCTGACGGCTAATACAGTATGAAAACGTATCAAGCATGATAGTGCGAAGCAGTGACGGCCACAAGTGTATGAAGCCCTTACCAGTATGATTTCTCGCCCAAAATGAGGCGCAAAAATCCTTTGCTTGCGCTGCTTCACATCTTTAAGTCGCTTTAGTAATGCGTGTGCTACTTTGTACCGAGGCCTGTTGGGCGAATAAGCGCACTTTATTATGTTGCACCCGCCTTTCTTTGCCAACAGGAATAGGATTGTAAGTATCGCAACTAATAGTGAATATTGATTGCTTTCTTTGTCCCCCCCCCCCCATACAGTTTATCGCGCATGCTTAAAATAACGACTTGCACTTACATCATATGAAACTATATATTTCCGTTTTTGTAGGTTGTTTTTATTACCATTGCACAGCTTAACTACGCACGCTACGAGCTTCGCTATTGCGCTGTATATAAATAAGTTTAATGTTACCTGAACAGGTCCTTCCATTGCTGTTTAAATTAAATCCCTTATCGCAGCTGCAGCGATGGCTGCCAAACAGATTTCTACATTTATGTTGACAGTTTCCGTTGTTGCTGGCACATTCGTTTATATCTATCAGAATAAGAAACAGCATTAGAACATAATCAAAGTAAAGCGTGCACTCTGATTGGTAGATTCAGTGCCCACCATCTGCACATGCGTGAGCAAACGCTCTTGGCTATCGCCTCGCGTGACTCTTAAGCTTCTTTCGTGCTTAGCAACATCACGCGTGCATCCATAGTTCAATAGTGTACACTGTGGTGTTTACCATTTGTTTTAAACCATGACATTGATACATTGTAGCAAAAGAAGTCCCTTTCATTTAACACTGAAAACTTACCATTTGTTAAGTCGACAACAAGAAAAGGTTCATTAAAAAAAACCAGGTTGTTGTTATCTTTTTGCGTATATTACAGATAAAGTATTCCACCGATCAGGAATTATTATTGATTTTTTGCAATGATCGTTCAGATTCCATTCTTAAACGTTTTTCGTATATTACCTTTATGAAAAGATAGAGAGACCAGTGAGCCAATCACAAGGTATAGGGAGGCATTGTGATGTTAATTAAGTGACCCTTATCGCAAAGTATTATTTAAACATACCTCTGCATGACTTCTTGGAAACAAGGCGGAAACCACGCGGACAATTGCATTTGTACCATCCAGGATAGTTCACACACTGACGTCTACAGCCTCCATTATTCACGGCGCACTCATCGATATCTGAAATTATTATACATTAGACTAACTACTGCGAGGATCGTGCATCATACGTATCTAATACCGCAGTTCAAAATATATGAACTTCATATATTTCATTGTATCTGATTTATCACTTTCACGGGTTTATTACGAATCAACTTAACGGCCTGCTCCCAGTCGGCTTGTTAGCTCAATTGGTAGAGCGCTGTACTAGTATCGCAGAGGTCAGTTGTTCGAATCCCGTACAGGCCTGATATTTTTCAGGTCTGATTTTCACTATTGCTTAAATAGCGCTATCTACTGCGAGGATCGTGCATCATACGTATCTAATACCGCAGTTCAAAATATATGAACTTCATATATTTCATTGTATCTGACATTAAACTAACTATGAAATATCTGATTGGTCGAGAGCACTCAGTCAAAATACAGCGGCATGTGAAGTTGACATGATGACCCAATATCTGCTGCAGATATTGGGTTATCATGTTGAATTCAAAGTCTATTTAGTTTCCAAGCCCCTTGTTCAGCGACGGCAAATAACTCAGACCTCGGGACATGATGACCCAATATCTGCAGTAGATATTGAGCTATCATGTTGAGTTGGAAGTCTGCCTAGTTTCCAAGCCCCTCGTCCTTGTGGTGTTCTCAAACTTTTGCAAACTCAAAGAGAAGTGTCTTCTTTAGCAGATTGTTTTAAAAAATGCATAGCAAAACGATCATTGAATTCGGTTTTCGCATGATACTAATTATCAAACCTTGTGTCTGTTATCTGCCTCAGCCTTCCGCTTCGGCCAACAACTCACACCTCTGTATTGTAAGTTCGTGATATCATACTCAGCCTCAACCGATAATTGCTTCATAATATGCATGGAACAATTAATCACAGATCAAACCAAGAAAAAGACAATAAGAATATTTTACCAAAGTATGTTTATATGCGATTTTGTTTTACAGAAAAGGCAGCTGCTGTAGGTCTTTTAAAACTCATTATTTTGCAGAAAAGGCAGCTGCTATAGGTCTTTTAAAACTCATAATTTTACAGAAAAGGTGGCTGCTATAGAACTTTTAAAACTCATAATGCTCAATCTCAAAAGTGGATACCGGATGTCTCACCGCACAAGGATTTTATATCAGCAGGCAAAATATACAGCTTTTAATCGCTAACCTTATGAACATTTATGAACCTTTTTCTCGTGGAAATCAAAAAATATCTATTTTGCATTTACTCCGCTTTATCAAAATAAGCTGATTGTAATCATACCTGTGCATACTGTATCACTCTGAAGTCTGTACCCATCGTCACACGTGCATTTAAAACTTCCAACCGTATTCAGACATCGTTTTCCACATGAATTTGATCCGGAGGCGCATGCACACGCGGAGCTGTAAGTGCACTCGTCGACATCTGCCGGATACATTAGAACAAGTGCTAAGGTCAAGCGACAGCCTTGATGAGTATATCAAGGAGGAAGTTATATTTCAACATTTTTGTACTGAGTATGAAAATTTGACACTCACCAAGACACTTTGTGTCATCAAATTTGCTTATATTGTACCCTGGATGGCAATAGCATAATCTCCATGCACCCCTTTTATTGGAACATCTTTGCTCACATCCTCCATTGTTTGGGGAGCATTCGTCTACATCTGTCGAAAATAAAAGAACCAAACCGATCCAGCTCAATTTACTCGGCCTATTGTAATGTCCGTTATCATGACTTTGAGAAATATGAAGACTTTGTCATACTCCTCAATGAGTACACATAAAAAGCAGCGAAATGTATGATAGTTCGTTTGTTGGTTTGTCTGTTTGCACCTCACCTATAGTACAAGAAGGTCCAGTCCAGAATTGAGTACACCTGCACGAGTTCGGACGGGTGCAATTTCCGCCGTGGCTGCAGCCATTATCGCAAATTGCTAGAGATACAAAAGGGTCAGAGAAATGGCAAGAATGTGTGAATGACTTCATAGTTTAATGTTACCTGCTATCATGCTTGTGTCAATTTCATAGACTCCTCTGAAAGAAACGTTTTCACCAGCAAACGATCAAGCTGTAACACTTGATATCTCTCGCAGACTTAAATAATCTTGTTTAATCTAAATGTAGTTTTCGTGGGGAATGAAAGTCTGATGGGATGTCTTCATAACTGAACTTCTCCTTTCAAAATGTCTTATGTCCCCTTTTTCCGGAGCTTTTTGGATTCATGACTGACTTAAAAGGGATCTAGAAGAGGTTTTCATCACAATAAAGGCTATGAAGAGAGACAAATTCTGCATGGCTTTATTCCGTTTCAGACCCAACCTATTGGGCAGCTATCTCCACTTCTTTGCCATCCTTTACAGCATATCAAGTAAGTGTCAGTAGTCCAAACGTAGACCGTCTTCCATGTGTAACCAATTGAAGTTCTGGAGGTATATAGGAATCGAAGTTAGAAACATAAAGTTGAAAAGTCTCATTGTAAAATAAACTCATAAATTTGATCGAATAATGAAGAGAAATTAATCAAAGAACAAATGTTAAAAAAAAAAAAAGAAACAAACCGAAACAGCAGCAAAAACATTTGAAAGGATTGATGCCAAAAAACATTCCGGTTCTCCCTTTAATTTCAATTGAGATAACTTACCTAGATCTTCTGCAACGTTTCCATCCGAATAATCCACATCTTTTGTTGTAGCTTTGATGATGGACAATCGACACCTGCTGGGATTTTGCAACAGACCTACCTTTGTGTTCGATACAAACGTTTAAGCTACAAAAAGATATATGTATAAAGGAAGAAGTCAGTGACAAGTTCACACCGTGACTGCTATGGCAATGGCAAGGGCAATGGGAAGCTGCGAATGTCAGGTCGATATGCTATACTGCTCTCCGTAAACTACAAGTCGCATGATATTAGGATATATCAACAAAGTTGAAATGGTAAATTGGCCACCGTAACGATTACAAAAGCATGATATTAGGTTATCTTTGGCCTTAAGGAAAATTTGGATTATTGTACAATCTCAAACGCTGATGAGAGTCTGTGACAACTGCCCTTGATCATGTGCAGTCAATTGAAAGGAACAATCCAGCAATATATTTGTACACAATTCCATTTAACAACGTAACGATTTTTGCTACACGGGAAAAAAAGGAACCGTTGAGATAAGAAAAAAATTATTTAAGCTATGGAGAGTATTTTTCGTGTTTACACACTCTCATCTAGACTATGGGGGCTGGGAGAATTCGAGATAGTTATGTAAACCTGAGACGTATTCGAGGATTTTCCCAACCTTTCAAGTGAGAGTATCTAAACACGAAAAAAGTGCTAAGTTGCTTATTAAAAACTATTTCTCTACAATAACATGACTAAAGAAGGAAAATTTTGCTTATTTACTTCTTGATTGAGTCGGATTTTCTCTTTACATGCTCTACAGAAGAGTACTTCCGGCTAACTAATCAAATCACGGGTCTGACTATACAAAAACCGATCAAAGTTCGCGTTATAAACATCAAGTCAAGTTTAAATCTGTGGCAAGTGCCATCAACGAGTGAACTAAACCTTTTCAGCTTTGAATCATTCCAAATTTTCCAGAAAACAACTGAAATGTTATAAAATCTATGATTCCTTAAGGAAAGTAGTCTACGACAATTTAATTTAATTTAATTTAAAATTAATGTATTAATGTCACTGTAGTTGATCGCTTTTGAAAGTGATGAAAACTTGCCCGAGAACATGGTTGCGAAATTGAATCGCTTATCGTGCCTCGTGAAAATTTGGCTGGCTGGTAAAGTCTCGTTTTCCAATTCTGAATTTAAAAAAGGCAATTTTAATATCATTGTCAATGTGAAGGTGATACTTGCGCCAAAAATGTCTCAGAGAAAATTACCTAAAAAGAAAATTTTTAGAGCCAAAATGTAGCAGCCGATCGGTTGTGAGAGGTTTGCTTTGAGACAAATTGAGACTAGCAGTTAGTTTGATATGTGTTTTCGTGAACGATTTTGTAATGAATATGATTACTCATGTCTTGTAGAGGATTTCATTACAGTCCTTAAATGTGAAAATCTTTCTTAAAAAAGGTCATGTCTAATTCAGTCAAGGATGATGCAAGTTCGCCAAACGCTTGCGGTTTGAAATTATCTCCTTCGAAGATCCTATGTTGTTACCGTCTACTGACTGCAGAAGTTCACAAGTCGTAGAAATTAAAAAGTCACTCTTTAGGACTGATGTTTTGATTTAGGCTTTAGCACGATACCCAATGTATTACAGCTAAAAATGTGTAGCAAATCTTAAAAATGGTTCCAAGTTAACGCATTCATTCACTTGTTCAAATTGCACTTTTAAGCAGTTTTCGTCGAAAAATTCACTCTAACCTTGTTTTCTAAATATTAAAGCAGTCGAATGTATTATATACTATTTTATTTTATCAAATTTAAACTCTGGTTTTTTTTTCTTTCATTTTCTTCTCAATGTGATGCTTTGTTTCGGTAGCCCCATTTCGTTGCCAATTTAGTCTGCAAGTTATCTTCTCGAAACAATTTGTACGGTATTTCAACGTAACTTTCAGTAAATGGATCAATTAACAATTCCGTTGGGTTACGAGGAAAAGACTACGATAGCTGATGGAGGCAGGCACCTGGTCATTATTGAGCTACTTGGTAACGCTCGTGTAAATAAGTCAGAATCACCTGAGCGAAAATATAGGGAAAACATACTTACCCGCCTTTTGACAACCCCATACCATAAAAAGCTGCACGTCCCACAACAGAGTACAGCACAAGTACAAAAAACACTCCCAGACATGTCTTTTTCATTTCGCTGTGCACTATCTCGGCGTAGCAATACTAAGTTACAAATCAAGAGCAGCAAAACAACTCACTTCCTCTCCACAAGGACTGCCAGTTGGTCTCTGAGAGTATATCACTGTTGAGTAGTTTATTTAAAATCTATTTACTTCCTCGCTGGGGTATCGAATATAACAACTGAAACGTCGGCTGAGACGTCTGAAACGTCTAACACGCTAATCATATCAAAAATTGATTGATGAGTAGGGTTTGAAGTTTTGCCAAACTTGGCTTATCTGACTCCGTAAAGATAGTGAGCACTGTGGAGAGGGGTCATGGAGTAACTAACAAGTTGTGTTTTTTTTTTTTTTCAAAGGTTAAACTAAATGGGGGAGGAAACTTTTAATAAGGATTTGGATGTTTTTTCCGGGTATACAGTATATCTGTCGCATTCATTAAATCGGAACCCGAATTTTATCATGAATTGCCTTTTTCTTTTCAGGAGACAGCGTGCAGCGAGGACGCTTTACGCCTCCAAAGACCGAGCCGACGTGCTGGTGGAGGGGAGGACCTCTAGCTTGAAGGAAGCGGATGCTTTTCATCTTGCTTTAGGCCATTTGGGCTCCCTCGTTAAATATTATTATTATTATTATTACTATTATTATTATTATTTTCATTATTTATTTTGGTTTTACTGAGGGTGCTCTGATTACCTTCTCTTCATAATTAGCCGTCAAGGTCTAGTTTAGGGTCACTGGCACTAGAATTGAGATTATTATTATTATTATTATTATTATTATTATTACTATTATTATTATTATTATTATTATTATTATTATCTGACACTGACATTACATCGGAAAGTGCGCAAGCCAGAATTTAAGTAGTCGAGTTCTTAGTATGTAGCTTAGTTTACTGAACTTTTAATTTTTTTTTTAGAGAACTGCTTTTTGTGAGATATTTTTAAGGAAAAATCTATTATTATTATTAAGTTAATACCGAAGAGATTCCAAACCTGTCTCTCAGTTAAAGACTTTTTAAACTTGTTTTGTAATATTTATACCTCAATTATGATCATCATTATGATTATTATAAGAACTGTGTATCCATGAGCTTTTCTGGAATTTTTACTGGACATTTTGACGCATTTGTTTTCGATTTTTAAGCATTTCATCATAATTTTTGTAAATACTTTTAGTGATTATGGTGAATAAAGATTATTATTATTAAAAAAATTATTATTATTATAACATCAAGTGAATGTGACGACCAAAAGAGTTCTGAAGCGGGCTCTGAAATCCTAAATCTTAAATCCAGGATAGACTGCCACTGTTCTTTGTTGGATTCATCTGTCTAAGTTTGAATATGGTCTCTCTTAGAGTCATTAACAGCTTGAGCCGTGCCCAGATTTGTCTCCTACAGGGGTTATTTTAAAATTTGCAACAAGCATACCCACCCCTCTCAAGCTGGAGTCGTTGTTCGAATATTTTTTTTCTGAGATCAATCGGCTGTCAGCTTAATTAAAATTTCCAAGACTTGTGCTCACGTATGCGGTTTATTCTCATTACTTGTTACTTTCTTAGGAATTCACAACAGCAATTTATCCTTAGATAGGCCTTTCTGAGAGTTACAGGTATACTCAACTGAAATCATCGAAGTTCTGATCTAAAATTGTTTAAATTTACAAAAACCGAAATGACCTAGGATATCGCATACACATCCGGCCCAAAAGATAAATTTACTTAAGTTTTATAATTGTCAGCTGAAATAACATCCATTTGGTTAAATGAACTCTGTAACATTGCCAAATTTTGATGCTTATTTTGTTCTGTTATGAAGTTCCTATGAGGAAAGGTTAAGTAGGTAAATTCATTTATCGGCTTTGCAAAAACGAAATGCGAAGCGATATCAGTAAGAGAGGATAATGATTGAATCGCGCCGCAACAACACTACAACTCAAACAGAAGCAGAGCTAACCTGAACTCTCGCAAAATGATTCATTAAGCAAAACATACAAAATGTTAAAATAAAATCCTAACATATGAGAGAAAAAAAAGCACAGAATATAAGACTGAAAAAAGACCAAAAGCATAAACAAACACAGTTGCGTAATCTTGGCACCTACAAGATGTTTGTTCCTAGTAAATGATATCGCAAAATACCAGACGGGAGCTAAGAATCACGCGAGAGGAAGTCTGATTTTCTGATCCGTTCAAGCACTTTCCAGTTCTGGGCTGGAGAGGAAGAAAAATGCAGATGCCCAAAGTTATCTAAACACCATCCAAGCTTCTATTTGATATAGACGCTCTTAACATGTTCAAAAGTGTAGAAGGCCTAGTTCTCGAGTATTTCGCATATAACATCACTAAAAGATCTTGGATTAATGAAATTAATTTAACATGCCACAAATACCGAGGTGTCGTCGAACAAAACTTTAGGAATCTACGTTAAAAGCAGCGAATAATTCCATCTCCAAATGAAGAGTAAAACCATCGTCAGCGATCTTAGTCACGCTCTTTAAAAGTATTACTAAGGGTATTTCGTTTTAGCAGGATAGTTGGTATAAAATTATTCAAATCAACTAATGCACTTTTTTTTAGTATCCCTTTCATTCAGTCTTGCTGTGATCAGCAGCTTGTCATCCGTTTTTTTTATTTTTGGGATGCAAGCTAAGTTATTACAGGAAGCAGTATGGTCAATATGGCTTAAGGATATTGCCTTCTCACCCCTCCAACAAAACAGCGTGTATTTATTTTTGAAAGTAGCCTCTAAACAATATACGATTGCGCGACTGCTGTTTGTATTTTAGCTAAAATAGTATGTGAAGACTGAATATCTCTCCATAGAACAAGTTTTTTTTTCTATTATCGATGCAGCTGTTAGAATTTGTGTTGTACTCCCGTTTCCTGAAAGGCTTGCTCCAAACAAAAGTCCTACGCAAAGCGTCAGACAGCAGGCAAACAACGTGGTAAAAAAGCGGAAAATCGACAATAATAGTCCTTTTTTACAGTGGTGGGCTTGGTGGTCAAGCCTTTGAATAGGATTGAGGCTTAGGGTGACCTTGTTATGATAAAGATGTTTCTGCTTTTCAAATGCAAATTACTTTGTTATCATGCTAACTAGATACAGGTCTCTATCACAACAGGGTCACCCTTAGTCTCACTCCTGTTCAAAGGCTTGGCCACCAAGCCTACAACTGTAAAAGGGACCGTTTCGAGATTGTTGGCAAGTAAATGATATAAGTCCACGAGATTAAATAAGAAATTACCGTTATTCATCTTAAAAAGAATGGTATTGATAGTTATTCAGTGGAAATGGAAAAAAAAGTCGAGTGCAAATGGAAGATTTGGAGCATAACCTAAACTGTTTTACAAGTATACCATGCACTGCACGTCGTGAAATGTATCTTTAAACATTGTGCCGGTTATAAACGAGAAATACAAAGGAAGCAAGGCTGCTTCAAAGAACATATTCAACGTCAGTTTGGCTTACAACAAAATATTGTTTGTTTTGAGTTGTCGCGTTATGACAAACATGTTTCGAGTAACGAGGGTAAAATTATACTGATAGGTAATGGCTTGAAGGGAATCGATAAGTTTACTTGAGTGAGCGGGAAGTTATAGAAGGTCGACGGAGTTCCATATAAAGGTTGAACTTTTTAACCGTTTCATTCCTAATTGAGTAACTGAATACCTTTTCCCTCCTTATACTCTCAACGGTCGACAAACATCGTTACAAAACTCGTTAGAATTCATTAAAGATCAGCGCAATTCACTCTTAAGTGATCACTTCCTTGATCCGCGTGACCTTTGCTGATGACCAAGTGCTGATATTTTGAGAAGTTGCATAATTGATCCCGGGGTTTGAAGAATTAGAGTAACTTTTTCTGATCAACTTGTTCCTAAATTTCACTTTCTATCTCGGTGTTATTTGTGTTGTTACTCACAGATTTTTCTGTATCAATTGGGGCTCAGTGAAAGCTTGTTTTCATATTCTTCAAGCAAGTCATGCAAGACTCTTGGGTCAATTAAAAAAAAAAGCAAGAGAGAGGTCCGGGAAATGGTCGGACATTGTACAAATCGGTAGATTGCGTGACAGCTTCAGCTAAGTGTTTTCTACCCTGATACTTACGCCATTTCAACCAGTCAGAGCGCGTATTATATCCAAGCTTTATTACAATGCAAAATATACTGACCTCACAGTGAAACACGCCTTTAGGAGCCTATAGGGAAACAATTCTTTTCTAGTCAGTCCTACTGTCTACGATAATACTCATTGAAACAACTTCGGCCAAATTTTATCGTTTTCTCAAGCTACTAATATCATGTTCATTATAGAGATTTTAGCGAGCCGTGTCTGTTGTGTCGGTCACATGACCCGAAGAGGTAATGACACGTGGAGCAAAGAGCGAGGCATGTCGATTGAATTCGTCTGTTGTTAGTTATCTTATATGTAATTACAGAGACGTAGCTACGGACAGAATACAACACTGGCGACGAGGATATTCAGTACCTTCGCATAAATCAACATGGCAGAGGCAAGTGTTGATTTTGGAGGAATTTTGCCGTTCGACTGTAAAGGCGCGATTACCTCAGTTGCTCCTCGGTGGAAAAGGTGGAAAAATCTTTTGAATATTACCTCTTAGCAAGAGGTATCACCAACAGCGCTCGAAAAAAAGGTTTCCTGTTACACTGTGCTGGCAGTGAAGTGCAAGAATTATTCGAAACCCTGCAAGATCCAGGACCGCCGGCACATGTAGGTGAAGACAATGCTGACGAATATCAGAAAGCCCTACGCACACTTGATACTCATTTTAGCGCGCGGTTAAAAGAGCCATACGAAAGACACGTCTTCAGAAATCTCAAACAGGAGGGAGGAGAGACAGTCGATCAGTTTATTACTCGGTTACGACACCAAGCGGAAAATTGTAATTGGGATCACGCAGACGAGCCGATTCGCGATCAGGTCATCGACAAGTGCAGATCAGACGACTTGCGGTGGAAACTATTTTTAAAGGGAACCCATCTAACTCTGGAAAAGGTGCAAGAAATCGCTCGATCTTTTGAGGCAGTAGATATTCAGTTGTAAACGATGATGACTGGTGTGGAAGATGATCGTCAACAAGTTAACCGTATCGAACGTGGAGAAACCGCTCTCCAGTTCAAAGGAAGAGAAACGAAAGCCAAATGTTATCGTTGTGACAGAGAAGGTCATTTTAGTCGTGACAGTTGTTGTCCAGCAAGAAATGCCGAGTGTCAGAGGTGTCACAAGATAGGACATTTTGCTAAGGTTTGCCAAACCAAAACTGTCACCAGAAACAAAATATTTTCTCCACGAGATGTGCCAGACAAAAGGAGATCGAATGTGAACTCGATTGATGATGACAACTTGAGAGTTGAGAGCGACGATGACTAGTACGCATTCACTGTGGGCAGTGGAACTACAGGTGGGATGATAAATCTGTTAGTTGGAGGGATTTCTGTGCGAATGCTTATTGACTCTGGGGCAAGCACTAATGTGATTGATAAGGGAACATGGGAGGAGCTAAAATCCCAGAAGATTGAATGCAAATCCTATAGGTGCAAAAAGAAGCTGTATGGTTACGGGAGTAGTGTGCCTTTAAAAGTTATCGGTTGTTTCGAAGCAAGAGTAGTCGTGGGTGACAAAGTTTGTGAGGCAGAGTTTGTAGTGATTGATGGGACAAAACAACCCCTGTTGGGGAGAGGTAGAGCAATCAAGCTTGGAGTGCTTCAGATAGGAAGTTCCATAAACTCTGTAAGCAGTGACATTGTAGAAGAATTCAAAGATTGTTTTAGAGGAGTAGGAAAGCTAAAAGGATACCAGCTTAAGTTGCACATAAAAGAGAATGTGGCACCTGTGGTTCAGCCTCTGCGCAGACCACCATTCAATCTTAGAGACAAAATCGAGAAGACATCAGACGAACTGGAGAACATGGACATCATTGAGAAAGTAAACAGTCCATCTCAGTCGGTCAGCCCTGTAGTTGTAGTCGCAAAACCCAATGGGGAAGTGAGACTTTGTGTAGACATGAGACAAGCAAATTGTGCGGTAGAACGTGAACGATACCCCATTCCAACCATTGATGAAGTACTTCAAGACATGAACAATAAAAAAGTGTTCAGCAAGCTGGACTTAAGATGGGGGTACCATCAAATTGAATTATCTAAAGAATCCCGTGAGATTACCACATTCCTCACACACAAAGGTCTGTGCCGATATAAAAGATTGATGTTTGGGATATCAGCAGCTCCGGACAAATACCAGCAGGTTATCCAGCAGACATTGCAAGGTATTGAAGGGGTACACAATGTCTCAGATGATATTATAGTGCATGGTGCAACACATGACCAGCATGATGAACGTCTGCGAAAAGTGATGATGCCTGTACGTGAATGTGGCCTTACCCTCAACTTAGAAAAGTGCCAATTCTCCATGAGTCAGATGACATTCATGGGCCATGTCCTGTCAAGTTGAGGAGTGGGTGTGGCCGCTGGCAAAGTGAAGGCAGTAGTCGAAGCAAGAGAACCAGTATCGGTTTCAGAAGTCAGGTAATTCTTAGGTCTAGTAAATTACAGTGGAAGGTTTATTCCAAATCTTGCGACACTGTCAGAGCCACTGCGAAGACTGACAAAGAAGGATGTTGTATTCCAATGGAGATCAGAGCAAGCAGCAGCATTTCAGAAGCTGAAAAAAGAACTGACTCGAGAAGAGGTTCTTGGATATTACGACAAAGATGCTGAGACTCGTTTTATCACTGATGCAAGTCCTGTGGGTTTGGGCGCCGTTCTTGCTCAGAAGCAGTAAGGAGAGTTCAGGGTCATTATGTATGCTAGTCGAAGTCTAACGGATGCGGAACGCAGATACAGCCAGACAGAGCGCGAGGCGCTGGCGATTGTATGGGCTTGTGAACGGTTCCACACTTACCTATATGGGATCAAGTTTCACCTTGTAACCGATCACAAGCCTTTGGAATGTTTGTACTCAAAGAAGTCGAGACCCCCTGCCCGCATTGAGCGCTGGGTACTGCGTATGCAAGTTTTTGATTACACCATTGAATACAAGCCTGGTAGCGAGAACATAGCAGATTCCCTGTCTCGACTGAGCTGTTACCACAGTCTGGACGAGGAGAAAACGAGGAACGTTGCCGAAGAATATGTACGGTTTATAGCCCAGACAGCCACCCAAAAGCCATGACAACACGAGAAGTAGAAGAACATTCCTACCGTGATGCTGAACTGAGTGAAGTAAGGCGATGCATTCGTGAAGGTGTCTGGAACAACAAAGAATGTGTTAAATATATTCCAGTAAAAGACGAACTGTGTGCCATTGGCAAAGTCGTTTTGCGTGGAACACGCATTGTTATTCCCCAAACTCTGAGACAGCAAGTACTAGCTATTGCACACGAAGGACATGTTGGAATTGTTGCTACGAAACTGAGACTGAGGACTAAAGTGTGGTGGCCTGGTATCGACAAAGACGCTGAACAATATGTAAGTTCGAGCCATGGATGTCAATTAGTTGGACAAGCAACTCCACCGGAGCCTTTGATTCCTACTGAGCTGCCGCTTGGCAAATGCCAGGACTTATACTTGGATCTCTTAGGACCGATGCCAACAGGAGAGTACCTGCTTGTTGTCATTGACTATTATTCTAGGTACTATGAAGTGGAGATCTTGATGTCAGTTACTGCATCCCAGATTATCTCACGCCTCGAGACGATATTCGCTGTTCATGGCCTGCCAGTAACCACAACGAGCGACAACGGACCACAATTCCGGTCAGAAGAGTTTGAGCATTTTCTTGTTGATAATGGTATCTTACAAGGCAAGGTTACGCCACAATGGGTACAGGCAAATGGCGAGGTAGAGCGTCAAAACCGAAGCCTACTCAAGAGCATGAGAATTGCACAAGCAGAAGGAAAAAAATGGAAGAAAGAGCTCGTTCATTACCTCGCTAAATACAGAACAACGCCGCACACCGTCACAGGAGTTTTCCCTGCGGAGTTATTATTTGGTCGGAAGATCCACACAAAGATGCCTGAGTTGCGCTAAACTACCGTAAATGATGATGAGCTACGAAATCGCGACTGGGAAAAGAAAATTAAATAAAAGCGAAGATATATGTAGATGAACGAAGGGGTGCTCAACCCAATGACCTTCAGGCTGGTGACCAAGTGCTTCTAAAGAAGAAAAAGTCAAACAAGTTGTCAGTCAAATTTGAAAGTGAGCCTTATAAAATCATTGAAAAGAAGGGCAAAGTGTTGTGGTACAGTCACCTGAGAAAGTTCAATACCAGAGGAACGTCACAGAAGTAAAGAAGTTTACCCCCAGAGATGAACAATGCGTTGACAGCGATCATCAGTTTGAGTTACAAGAGGACAATGAATTAGAGCAGAGGCCGCAACGGGATAGGCATCCCCCAGATCGCTATGGTGAATGGGAGTAACCCAGAGAGAAAACTGACATGATAGTAGCCTCTTACAGGCTTGAACCTTGTTGTGATTTTTTAAAAAAAAAAAAAAAAAAAAAAAAGGGAAACAGTGCGAACAATGGAGATAAAGACATTAGCTATGAAAAGCTAAAAAAATACCTCTGGACATAGTTGCAGTTGAGTTGATCGTATGATCTAGTTTAAGATTAAGTTTTTCTTTTTTTTTTGTTAAGAAAAGAAGGGATGTTGTGTCGGTCACATGACCTGGAGAGGTAATGACACGTGGAGCGAGGAGCGAGGCATGTCGATTGAATTCGTTTGTTCTTAGTTATCTTATATGTAATTAAAGAGACGTAGTTACGGACAGAATACAACAGTGTCAATCTTCTTGTAACGATGTAATGCGAGTAATGTGTCTCAGTGTAAATGCAAGTACCATACATTTTAACATTACATCGGAACGCCTGACAAATTTGTGCTGTTAAATTTTCCAGATTTCAATTGAACATTTTTGGCTTTGATAAAAAGCTTTGGATTAAAATTGATTGCGACTGTATCACATCATCAATTCTTCTTTAAGAGCTTTCCTCTCTAAATCCATATTGTCCCATGAATTCCGAACAACATAGTTTTTTCCACATTGATGTAAAAATAGGGTAAAAAAAAAAAAAAAATGTTCTCTTTCTCTTAGTTGAAGTTATCAAGATTATTCAAAGTAAAATGTCGTAAACGATCAATTATGTTTCTATCAAAACTGAAAGAAAGTAGTTCTGGTAAAAAAAAAAAAATATTAAGTGACGCTGTATTTCTGAGTAACCTAATTGAATTCGAATGGATAAAAAACTGATTTACTTTACTGTAGATCAAAACACTTGCTAAAGTTGATTGAATAAAAAAAAAAAAACTGTACTTCTGATGGAGCTAAAAACTGCAAAGGCAAAAAAAAAATAAAAAAAAAAAAAAAAAAGATAAAATGTACTAATAACTGAATCAATTTTTTGACTGCAGCATGCATATTTTAAAATTTAAGATGGAATTCCCTGGAGGACTAATATTTGATAAACTTATTTTCTAATTACATAAAAGCATGCCTTTTAAAGAATTGTCAAAAATACGACCTACCAAAAAAAAAAAAATGCAAAATTCCGGCTCCAGGCTGCAGTAAGTTTTATTATCACCTGAAAAAAAAAAAAAGTCCTCTGCGCATATACGCACGTGCGTACCTGAAGTTACCAGAAAAAAAAAAAAAAAAGTTGTGTTTGCGCCAGGTTTGCTCAAAATAAGGGCAAGACGCTTTAAAAAAAAAAAAAATTCACACAACTATTTCAAACAAGAAATAAAGAACGCAGTATTTTTCGCTCAGTTTACTTAGGTTTCCAGATCATATGTACTTGCGTGTACTTGAAAAATGACCACACTACGCACCTGCCTGTACGATGACTAAAAGTCGATCGCTTTCCATAAATATAAGAAAAAAAAAAAAACGGAGCAGAACTTTAGTCATGCATTAAATATTGCCGTTGAAGAGTAAAAAAAAAAAAATGGTAAGTACTTAGCCCGACTACGAGGTAACTTGAGAAGAACTCGAAAAAAAAAAAAAAATAATAATAATAATAATAATAATAATAATAATATAGATTATATAAAAAAAAAAAAAAAATATAGAAATTCTGCAGATGCCCCCTCACCCCATTCCCAGTAACAAAAAAAAAAAAAATCACAGTAATCTCGTGATGTGGGTCTTTAACGTCCCCTCCCGAAAAAAAAAAAAAAAAAGAAAAAAATTGAAAGAGACATATAAAACAAATCAACGAATATGAAAGAGAAACACAAAACTAAAAAGAAACAAATAATGCAACACGAAAGGAGATGAACATAAAAAAAAAAAAAATTTATATGATATCAGTCGTTAATTTAATTCGCGGAAATTACAAAAAAAAAAAAAAAAGAGATATATTATTCATTTTTAATTATGATGTGACGATCTCAAAGGGTTGATGGCTTTACGGCTGACCGTTAAAAATTTTGGCTATTTTATGGCTAAAGGTTAAAAAAAAAAAAAAACAGTTAATCGAATTGTTAAAAATTTTAATCATTTTGAAAAGTTATCATTGATCTAAAAGACATCTATTCGCTCGCTTTTACCATTTGTGTCAAGCAAAAAGAGAAAAAAAAAAAAATTGGGTTAATAGACAATTTTTCTGTTTTCCTGCATTGCCCCAAGAAAAAAAAAAAAAAGGCCCAAGATTTTGACACTTTTGGAATGGCACATTTGTAGAAAATAAAAAAAAAAAAAAAACCCGCGCGTCTCTACTAAAACGAGACTGGAGCTCTGCGTGACAAAAAAAAAAAAACATTGACGGGAGATAACAATAATAACTGTGAAATGTGGGATAAAGAAAAAAAAAAAAATACGACAAGTTTGATTAGCTAAAGTCGGAAAAGTCTGGAAGTTCAAAAAAAAAAAAAAGTCCCAAGTTAAGCGAGTTAAAAATGCAAGCTGTTTTCACATGAAAAAAAAAAAAAAAATCTCGCCTTTATGACCTGAAAATTCCAGAAGAGTTATATTACCTAAAAAAAAAAAAAAACTTGTCCTGGTAAATGCCGCAGCCAATCACATTGCCGGTAGTGACAGATACCTGCCAAATCGTGAACTGCCGAATATTTTCCAGTCGCTCGCGCTCATCTCAAAAAAAAAAAAAGTTTTGAAATGGCAGACGAATTCACTCGTAATACCTTCCCGTTCCAAAAAAAAAAAAATCCGGCCTCATTAGATCCCTCAGTTCCTCGGCCAGGACCTTACCTAAAAAAAAAAAAAGGTAAGCAGAACCCGTAGTACCCGCTTTTGAGCACAAAAGCTCTAAAAAAAAAAAAAACCACACTGTCCTGTGCTTACGGCGATTGCGGGTGTTTAGCTGCTGAAAAAAAAAAAAAAACACAATCCGTCGCATCCTCTCCTTTTGTCGAGAGTCGCATCCTAAAAAAAAAAAAACGTCTCCTTCGAAGAAATAAGGCAAGAATCAGTACAAGAGAAGTCATTCAAA